TTAATTCCTTTTTAACAGAGAAAAAAAAGAATCGATTAAATTGTTCTTACTTTAATTGGTATTTTTCGATTTGTTTTCTCCACATAATCCTTACGTAATTATAAGATATTTTTATAACAACAAATCAATGAAATGATAAAAGTATTCAATTATCAAATAATGCATTTGAATAATTATCAATTGATAATCCATGTGGACATCCCATTCCTTTAAAGTTCCAAAAAGTAAATACATCTTTAAGGGCAAATAAGAAATTTCCCCAATATCCCCGTTCTGGTTCTCCTTCTTTCTTTTTATCAAGATATAAAGCAACTTCTTTTATTTGTACTACTGCAACACTCTTTAATGGGAATACCACTGGTGAGACACAATCTAAATAGATCATTTCAATTAAAAACACAACACCAGCTACACGTGATTCATAATCTACTGGCTTAAGATCTAATCCAGTAAAGAGATTAAGGAAATGTTGAATTCCAGGATTCTTTGAAATTATTAATCCAATAATAAATTCTTGTATTAAATTAAGGAACATAGCAACTTTAATCCATAAAAAGATTTGAACTGGTCTTACTGCAACTACTGCCTTTGAAATACATCTAAAGAAGAATAACAATACCCACAAAGCAACAAACATACTAAATAATCCATATAATCTCAAAAACACTTTTGGTCCTTCCCTTAATAAATTGAATTGAACTAATACAGCTTTAAGAATAGAAAGAATAGGTTTTTGAATAGCAAATTGATAAACACATATCTTTGTTATTAATAACATTTTTTTGACACCAGGAACAGGAACATTACAACAACATAAACGATTAACTCGTGGAATTAAATGAGAAACACATCTAGTTAAACAAGGAGCTTCTCCACAACTAGATAATAATAAGAAATAAAATGTTAAAACAACATATACCTCATAGAAGTCTCTTGCTAATTGTAAGAAAACAATGTACCTATATCTAACAAAAAGTTGACAGTATGATACAATAGCATTAATAGGAATCATAAAGAGTAATCTGACATAAAATTTTTGAATAAACCCTTGGTGATAATTAAAAAGGTGTTGAAAGATTAAAAAATTAGATGGAATAAACACCATTAAAAATACTGGTAGTAATAACGATGGAACAAAAGCTCGAAAAACCTCTTCACTGGGATTGTCTGAATTATTTGACTCTGTTCCAAGAAGTAAATTGAGTAGATCTTCCATGAGATGGATTTATAAGATGATTCATTTCTTTTCTGAAAAAGTCTTTCATATTGAATTTTCAAAAAAAGGTTTTTGTGTTCCAAGAAATTTAATTTAATTAATGGTTTACATTTAATTTGATAACCAAAATTGGAAGTTTTGAATACTATGATTTAATCACGTTTTGTTACTTCATATTTGTTAGGAAGATATAAAATAATCATAGAAATTCCCCCAATAATTGTTAATGAGATAAAAAAGAAAAACATCACAGCAACAACATGAGACTCATTTTTTGATATACACACTATTGGTGATGTCATTTTTCTTTAACTATAAGTATTTGGTATAAAAAAAATTATTAAGCTTTGAACAAACATAAAGAGAGTAGAGTTGTCTATTGTGAACGATTCGACTTTTGTTTCTTCTTCTTTTGAACAATGAACTTCTATTACTGTAAATTGATTCCATTTAAAAGGTTGGTTGTATTTAAATGTCACTTGATCTCTTATTGTTGAAACACTTTGAGTTGAAACCAAAGAATAAGGAATTGGTTCATTCTGTCCTTCTTGTAAAACAACGTTATACAAACGAGTATTATTAAAATCAAAAGGCTCACAAATATTAACCCATAGCGTTGTATCATTTTTATAAAATTTATAAGTTTCTCCACTATTGGTAAGTTAATTTAAATAAAAAATTAAAAGATAGAATCGAACTTTGGTTTTATCAAAGAGGAAAAATCATAAATACCATCAAAACAAGGATAACGTGCCCAAATAATTTGTATAGAAAAAAACAGTAATAGAATCATTATCTTTTTTTCTAAATAAATTAATGAATATAAGTTTAAGATTTTTTCTAATCAAAATGAAAATTAAAAAGTATCAGACACGTCGAATCTACATATTTTCTTTCAGTCCGCCCGACGTATAAGTCATCATCTAGTATAGATATTGAAATTTATATAAGTAAAAATATATTTATTCTGAAATAAAAATTATGACAAAAACAACCAGGGTACACAAAACTTAAAAAGAAATAACTAAAAAGTTAGTTGCAAAAAGTATCATAATTAATGAAGATTAAATGTTTAATGATAGACCATGATGACACAGCTGTTAATTCTACAGAACTTATTAACTATCCTTGTTATGTTGAATTCATGAAAAAATATTATTCAGATAAACCAATTCTTACAATAGAAATGTGGTATGAAATGTTATGGGATATTGGGTTATCAGAGTATTATAAAAACCAAGTTGGATTAACTGATGATATGGTTCAATTGGAACATAGTTATTGGAAAAATTATATTTCTGAAAAACCTCGACCACCATTTTTTGATGGTTTTATTGATTTACTTAAACGTTTTAAAGAACAAGGAGGAATTGTTGCTGTTGTTTCTTTTTCATCTAAAGACGTTATTCTTAGACACTACAATGAAGCTACTAATGGACAATTTATTCCTGACGAAATTTTTGGTTATCAACACGGACATCCTGAATTTTCTAAACCTAATACTTATCCAATTGAACAACTTATTAAGAAGTATGGTTTTAAACCAGAAGAAATGGTAATGGTTGATGATATGAAAGAAGGATTAATAATGGCAAATCGAGTCAAAGGTGTTAAATCAATTGGAGTTCAATATAGTGAAGGTCATGGAAAAACAGTTGATAAAATGAAAGAATACTGTGATTTTATTGCTTATAAAGTAAATGATATTGCTGATTTTATTGGACTTACTACAGAAGAATAATTTATTTATCTTTCTCATTTACCAAAAACTCAGACTTTTTCTTATAATCAGATATTTTTGTTATTAATAACATATTAATATTATAATTATTTATAAATAATACTTAATGAAAATAAAATAAAAGATGCATAAAATGGAAATTGAAAAAGTTCAAATAATTGATATTTAAATGAATAATCAAAAACTAATAAACTTTAACTTTAAAATTGAATTATAATATGGAGTTCAAAGATCCTTATAAACTTGTTCAACAAATTTTTACACCTTTATCTTATTATATTCCAGAAAGTTTTAAAGCAGAGAAAAAGAATGCTAGATATGGTTTTTTTTATGGGATATTTCAAACTACTATTGAATCAGCTTTCTTTGGTCAAGTTATTAATTATTCATTTTTAACACATGAAGCACATAAAAAATATAATTGGAATCCAACTATTGTTTATAAAACATTTCCAAAAAATTTAAATAATTTAATTCCATATTATTCCACTACCCGTGCCCTTCAATGTGGTTATCCAAAAACACAAAAAAGAAATTGGATGATTAGAATATTAACACCTGTTATTGTTCTTCCATATGAACATGTTTTATCATTCTTTACTCATAAACTAATTCCAAGTATTCCAAGACCAATTTGTTCAGTATATCAAAATATTATTCCATTTACTATGATGGAGCTAATATTAGAAACTTCTTCATCAATTAAACCAACTGTTCAAAAAACATTAAATTGTATTCTTTCAAATGGATGGGCACAATTAGGAACTGCTGCTATTGGAAATGCATTTGGTTATTTAATGAATCACCCAGCATTTATCATTAATACTTTTATGAAACAACACCCTGAAATGGGATTTATTCAATCGGTCAAATATATTTCTACCACTAAAGGAATTAAAGGGTTTTATACTGGATCAATTCATAGATGTACCAGAGCAGCCCATTCAGCAGCAGTTACAAGTCTTGCTGGTGTTGCATTTGATACTTTATTCCTTAAAAAGAATAATTCAAAAACAGTTTCTAAAAGGATGAAACTTTTCTGGCTTTTTTAATAAATGAGAAGTTCTTTGAGGAATTTGACTATGAAATCAAATGAAAAGAATAAATTGAATTACTTTTTTTCTTCATCAATAGTTCATTTAGTATTTGATAAAATAAATTTAATAAATCTGCGACTGTAGTGACTTGGTGAAACACTAGACACTTGATCAGCTCCTCCTGCAGCAACTCCTTTTACTACTGTTTCTAACTTTTTTCTAGCTGTATAATCCATTAAAATATCTATTATTCCTAAATAATATAACTCACCTGTAAGTTCTCCCTTACTATTTCGTGCAAGTAACCCCCCTTCATAATCAGTAAATATAAAATCTGCTGGTTTAGGTATTTCTAATGATTTTAAAAATTCTTGGGCATCAGCAACTTTATCGCTTTTCTTTCTACGGCTTTTTGTTAATGAGGTAGAACCCTCTTTGGATAAATTTTTATCAACTCTTTGTTCTGTAAATACTGTAGATGCCCTAGGTCGTTTAACTACTTGCTTTAACTCTTCCTTTGTTGACTTAGTCGTTTCTACACTTCCGATTGATGATGTTTCTGTTACATCTTTTTTGCTCATTGATTGTGTTGATGTAATTGAACTTAGAGCTACAGACGATTCACTTTTCTTTGATTCGTCTTTTGTCTCTTCTTCAATTGTTTGTTTTTGTTCTTCTTGTTTTTGTTCTTTTTGTTTTTGTTCTTTTTGTTTTTGTTCTTTTTGTTTTTGTTCTTCTTGTTTTTGTTCTTCTTGTTTTTGTTCTTCTTGTTTTTGTTCTTCTTGTTTTTGTTCTTCTTGTTTTGATTCTTCTTGTTTTGATTCTTCTTGTTTTGATTCTTCTTGTTTTGATTCTTCTTGTTTTGGTTCTTCTTGTTTTGGTTCTTCTTGTTTTGGTTCTTCTTGTTTTGATTCTTCAATTGTTTGTTTTGATTCTTCTTGTTTATTTATATTTTGCATTGACTCTTCTTGTTTAGAACCATTTTCTTTTTCTTCAGTTTCGTTACTTTTATTTTCATCTTGTTTTTGAGCTGGTTCTCCTGTTATATTATCCTTGGTATTTTCTATTTTATCTTTGTCTTCTTTTTCTTTATGTTTTCTTTCTTTATCACCTTCTATAACCTTTTCTTTTTTTGTTTTATTTACTTCAATACCAAGTTTTTTACAAGCAAATTCTAGTTCTTCATCAGTTAAATTATGAACACCAACAAGCATACTATAATCAATAAGATGCATTTTAGCCATTAGTCCACTATCTTTTTCCACTTGTTCTTTAAAAGGTTGAAGAAGTTTTGGCCCTATATGTATTTGAGCTTTTTGTTCGACAAAATCAAGGTCTTTAAAACAAGGAGATTTTTTACTTCTTTCTTTTTCGTTAGCCTTTCGACCATACATAGAACCTTTTAAATCAAATTTATATTGAAGAGGGAAATTGTCATTAGGAAATAGATTATTCATAACAACATAACGATACTCTTCATCTTTTTGTGGTTTAATTCTAAACATACCATAAAATCTAGGAATAAGAGTTTGTGGATTTTCTTGAATATAAGAAAAGTATAACGGAAATATTTTACATAAAATCTTTTCTTCTCTTTTTGGAATAACTTTAATAACAAATTTATGGTCTTTTGTAAACATAAACAATGACCCACTCTTTCCCGATCCTAGATTTGGTGGTGTTAAATTTCCTTCTCCACAAATTGATTCAATCATTGATTCTGGTGTTAATCCAAAAAATCTCCTGACAATTGCAAATGCCATTGGTGAATATTCTTTAGCTACGTATTCTCCTACTTCTTTTGGTGTTGTCATTGCATTGTCTTTTTGACCACAAATATCTTTTCCTCCTTTTTTAGTAAATTTAGTGAATGGATATGTTTTAAAAATATATTTCTCATTCTTTAATTCAGGTAATGTTTTTCCTTTATATCTCTCAAAATCGTTATCACTTACATGAACTTTACTTAAATAATATTTTACTTGATGTTGAATACCTAAAACTAAAGCCATTGCTGTTTGTGAAATTTCTTTTGTTTCGATACTCATACTCAATGAATTCATTTTTTTAGTTCTTTATTATTAAAAAATAGATTATTCTAATAAATTAAAATTTAAAAAAACTAAAAATAATTGTTTAATATAAAAAATTTTTAAATTTCTTATAAATTGAGAAGTAAAATATATTAACTTTTATTTTTCTTTTTGATTGAATTACCTATTCTTAATTTTTGAACAACATTACCTCAAATAATTATTACTGAACAACACTCTTTTTCAACTATCGTTTGTTAAGTTAAAGCTTTTTCTTTAAAAAAACATTAAAAATCCAATGAACTACCTTTTCTGTTTCATAAAAAAATATCTTCTTAAATAGAAATTCAAGAAATAAGGAGAAAAGAAACTTTTTAAAAAGTTTAAATACAGTTCTTAAATATAAGGTAATGGGAAGATTATTGTTATTAAATATTCTTTTATTTATATTTTATTTAGTTATGCACAATTCTAATAACAATAATGCCTTAGAATAAAACAATGGGTTTTGAAAACACCTTTATCTGAATAGAACTGATGTAAAGTGATTGAATATAGCTTTGATACAATGTTTTATAAGGTGATCAAAACCATTCAAACCCTAAAACAAGAACGAAAATAAAAAATAAGAAAATTCTAACAAATAGATTTTTAAATTAACATTTTTAAAAATAAAATACATAAATATTATGAGAGATCTCATCTATCAAAATTTTTAGATTTTTCTAAATGAATACATTTATCCTTCTTTATTGTTTACTTATTTCTGTTAATGCTTTTGGTGATTCTAGCTCCATTGAAGAGTCAAGTGAAATATATGGAACTGAGTTTTGGGTTTCTATTGGATGTGTCATTGCTCTTGTTGGACTGATTTGTAGTCTTATTATAATATTCGCTATTATGATTATCGTAAAAAAATACAGACATAAAAATGAAGAGTATTTTGCTATCAATTGAATAAATTATTAGCCAATATTTGTTGTCCTATAAAAAAGAAGATACGGTTGTAGCTTAATTAGGATTAGATCCTTATATAAGGGTTACTCTAAAAAAGCCATATTCTTTTTGAATATTGTACTGAGACAGAAAATATATCTTAGATTAATTTCAGTAAATAGATTTTATTAATCTACATAACTAACACCTTTCAGTAAGAATTTGATAAGAATAAGAGAATAATAAAACAAATACAAAAAATAGTAATTAATTATTTTCTTTTTAAATTTGTGTGTCATTCTGATATTCTTTGATTGTATGTTTTGAAAATAAATACTAAAAATCTTTTTTCTAAAAATAAAATATTTGTAAAATTCAAGAGTAGAACCAACTGTATTTCTACAACTTCAGTAATTGTAGGATGGTTTTCTTATAATGTAGACATTTATTTAATAACAAAGACATACATAAATCAAAGTTATGGAATTATTATAATTGTTGAATTTAATAACAAGAATAGGAATAAAGATAGATATCTATTTTTCAATATTATCTAAACTAGTCTTAATGAGTAAAAAGAATAAAAGTAAATAAAAAATTAATCAATTCAATCGTATATTTTAGTTTTGAGTTGTCATTTCAAACCATTGTCTCAATGCTTCAGCTAAAACATTAGGTAAAGTGTTTAAGTCATGAAGAATGATGTAGTGAGGGAAAGGGAAAGTGTCCATATAATGTTCTACATTAACTTTTCCATTTTCAAAGTTAACGCTCTTCATTTCAAGAATTGATTCATTAGAAGGATTATCTAAGACAATGAAAACAACAAAAGTCTTCATTGAAGAGAAATCTCTTAATATTTTAGAAATACCATTTTTATCAGAGAATCGTCCATCAGAGAGGATAAAAATAATTTGTTTTACATCCAATTCAATAGAAGGATTATATCGTTGACAAACAAGTCCACTTTCATGTAAATAGACATATAAAGATTTCATTAATTTAACCATATCAGTATTGTTTTGATTAAATTGGAATTCTTTAACAATTCTTGCTCCATCTTCCTCATTAAATGTAGTTCCAAACTTTTGAACACATTTTACATCTTCTCCAAATCTAACAACACTTAACTCTCCTACTTCTAATTTAGTTAAAGCACTAGATAATAAAGCAATTGTTTCTAATGCCATTTCTCCAGCATTATTTATAACCATTGATTGAGAATCATCTATTGCAACTAATATTTGATAATCTCTTTTTTGTGCTCTTGTTCTTCTAAGCCAAATTTTATCCTTTTTAAATCCAGAAGCAATGTATGGAATTACTTTCTTCATATTAATTTCTTCCAGTTCT